AACACTGTTTTTAAGTAAAAGTACAAATAAACAGACAAAAATGTACTCTAGTAAAAGTAGAAGTACCACATTAACATTTTTACTTAAGTAAAAGTAAATAAGTACTTGCTTTTAAAATACTTAAAGTATTAAAAGTAAAAGTACTTCCTGAATGTATTACCTAATGTAATGGTCTACATATCTTTAAGTCTGCGTACCATATGTATATTTTCTGTAATACATTAATAATGTTGTTCCATTTTAATGAACAATGCTGCAGATAATACATGTTTTTATTGTGTTTACTCTGTGACACAGTTCACACTTGGACTTGTGATTCTGTGCGTCACAATTTCAGGGATGACCTGCAGAGTTAAATGCCATTAATCAAAATAAGAAAGAGGATTGATTATACCTTTGAAAGTTTTTATTTAACACAAATCAAAACCAATGTGTCATTTTAACTGCAGCAAAGTTAAAGTAAGTAAAAGTTGTCTGCCTGAACAAAAGGAGCATTAGACACAACTAACAAAGGAATAAGCTCTGATCATTTCCACTGATATTTCAACTCCAGTTTGTCATCAACACGAGTTAAAATACTGTCTATTAAACCTTGTAATGGGTCAATATTGAACAATATTTTAACTTCCTGACACCATTTTCAAAACTTGGACCCGAGTGTCGAGCCATTTGGAGACATCTAATGTCTCCTGTCCTAACATCATGAACTGACACATTTTAATATTGCAGCAAGAATTTCTTGTTCAAGTTCAGAAGAAGTTCGTTTTCAAAGATTTTTGAATCCAGTCTGGCTCTTTTGGGAGAGAGAAGGTGTCCTGTTGTACTGAGCCTTTCAATAATCTTTCAATAAACTTTCAATAAGGCCATGGGTGGAGCATATCTTCTGGCTGACTCTCTTGCAGTAGAATACATTTTGGGTGTGTTAGTGGTGCTGCAGGTACACCCAGCTCAGTGACATATATACTAGAATATATGTCATTGGCCCAGCTCTTCTTGAAGGTGGGCCTAACGTTACCTGCCCACTTTGCAGTGATTCAATGGACCAGCTCCCCTCTCACCATTGGTTATTTTCAAAGTAACAAACGAATCAAAAAGCCGCAACATGAATGTAACTTGTAATGCAACGCATTATAGAAATGTAGTGTAGTAGAAAGTACAGATACTTGATGTGAAATGTAGTGAAGTGTAGTATGAACATATACTGATATATATTCATAAATTAAACGGATTCTTTCATTTTTCTGGACTGTATAATGTACGTGCATTGAATAATTAAAAATGTGGACGTGAGACGTTAATTATCTTTGACTCACCAACGACAGTGGGTCATTTATTAACAGAATCAAGTTTAACACATCACACATTTACATTAATTGGCAAAAATTGAAAATAACGACAGCTTATTAATCAGTTGTTACAGGAAGTAAACAATACGACGATTGTTTTCTTACTTCCAGCAGTACAACAGACATTAACCACACGGC